CTGTCATAAGAAGAGCTGATCCTTTCACAATATATGAAGCAAATGTCAGAATCGTCAGCAGACTAACCACCAGGAGAATGCAACACTTGAAATCAGCAAAGAAACACATAGATGATGACACAAACTGGTGCATGTTTTGGCAAAAAAAAAAAAAATATATTTCTGCTCCTCTAAATACTTGCAGCAGTAGCAGCAGCAGCAGAAAATTTTGCTCAAAAATGATCACAGTTAAAGCCGAAGGAAGGAAAACAGAACAAAAAAAAATGATACAAACTGGTGGAAAAAAAGAACAAAAGAAAAGCAAAACGAAAAAAAAGCTAATAAAAGGGAAAAAGAAGGGATGAATTAGTCACCGACGGAAAAAGGGGAAGCTAAGGAAGGGAGATGCGAATAAAAGCCATCAAAAAAACGAAACATGCATAAAATCTCAAATTTTTGCAGAAACAGTTTATTAGTTTAATTTAACAGCCAGCAAAATCAGCAGCGACAGATAGAAGTTTAGCAACCAAGCGTCGCCAGTCAAACTGACCTACAAGGCAATTAAACAATATTTTAATCAATTAAAATTTCATCAGAAAAAAAAACGACGATAAAATTATTGAGAAAAATCCGATAATTATCAAATAATATTTAAGTAGTGGAGAAAATTAAAGACCCGCTCGTAACTGTATAAATCGGTTTATGGAGCAAATGAAAAAAGAAATAAAAAGAGATTTCAGTGGAGATGAAATTCATTTTTTTCACTGATAAAACAGTGCGATAACATCAAATTTATCAGCAACAGGAGGAGCAGCAATAAAAATATACCACATTAACAAAACATGATAAAATAATCACTTAGATCAAAGCGTTCAGCAGGAATCAAACTCAAATTACCTTCCTTCCCTCCTTTTTCAACCAGCAACTGCTGCTGCTCGCGTTTAGGTGGTGGCGCGTTTCGCAGCTATCGATGGCAAAAGCGGTGTATGGGCTTCTTGCGATTCCGGGAACAGCTGCGTGTAGTTTGCTAGTGGAATATAACCGGCCGTGATAACTTTGCCCGAAAAGAATCGTCCGTGCAACGCATTCACGCACTGGTACGCTCCTGCAATTGTCTGGCACTTTACATACACATTACCGCTCCGCGAAGCTCTATCTACGTAGCAGTGCAGCACTCCCCCACGTTCCCCGGCGCTCCGGGCGCATTCGTGGATCACATCATCGCGCACCTCATTCGCCCAGCCCTGGCCCGTTTCCTGCTCCGGATCGAACATATTCGACAGCATGAAGCACTGGGTTGCAATCGGCGGGTGAGGGGTTCCCGAGGCACCACCAGCTGCTGCGACTTGCTGACTGGCCGCCTGTTGAGCCAACAAATCCTTGGCACTTTTCGGCAACTCCAAATCGGTTTTTTCGGCCAATTTGGCCATCAGATGCAGACGGTCACTGGCACCACCCAGACGGATGTTACGCTCGTCCGTTACCTCATCAGCACCACCATCCACCTCGTGTTGTTGCTGCTGCACCGGCGGCGATTGCGCTTTATTTTCGGCCAATCCAACCCACATCTGATGGCCAGCCAGCTCGAACCCATTCATCTGCTCCATGGCTCGTTTCGCATCGGTACCGTATCGGAATGTGATATAAGCGTATCCTTTGGAAGTGCCACTCCGGTCTCGTGCTACGTCAATCTCCTCGATTTTACCAAACGGTTCAAAAATCCTGTACAACATATCGCTGGTGATACTTGTGTGCAGCTTATTCACACAAAGTTTCAGCGGGCCGGTGGTGCTTGTTGTCGGGCCAAAGCTAACAGTGCTGGTAGCTATTGCGTCTGCAGCACGATTTCGTTCAGCCAGGCTCGGCTGGATCACCAGCGATGCGCCCAACAATTTCTGGCCGTTCAACTCCAAAGCCTGAAACGAAAAATCATATTAACTCACACCACCATAGGTAATTATTATAAAAAATTAGTATCAATTTATATGTAAGCAACCTTCGAAAGGAGGAGGGGGAGATAGATAATAATGCCAGTCGATGGCAACTCCCGGTATTTCCTAACTTTGGAATGCTTTCGAGAGCCTTAGCCTCTCACAGAAAATGGATACCTCCTGCGCAAACTCGAAGATTCTCATTGAAAAATAAAGGATTCGAAGCAATGCACTAACACACCCGAAAATACACACATACATGCATATACGAACATATACATGTATTCGAGTATACATAAGACGCTTCTAGACACACGCACTGGAATAAATGCACGCATACACATACAACACATACACAATACACGCACAGGTTTACATATGTAACACACACACACAATGCATAACACAACTCATACACATGCACACACACACACACACACACACACACACACACACACACACACACACACACACATATACACACAC